CCCCTCCTCCCTCCCTCGGCCCCTCCCCGCCCACCGGGTCCTTGCATTGGGGAACCCAGCAGGGGAGTCCTCCCGGCCCTCCCTAGAGGGCCCCGCTGTCAGGCCCCGGCGCTAAAACTGCGTGGTCCCCTGCTCGCTTTAGACCCGGGGTTTCAAAGGCAGCAATGCCGCAGTGTCAGCTCCTGGGACCCCGGGACAGAGCAGCACACCTGGGGGCTAGCTCGCTTCTCCGTCTGAAGGCCAGAATCCAGTCAAGGTGCGGGCAGGGCCCCGCTGCTTCAGGGAGCGCCAGGGCGGGGTCCGTTCATCGCCACGTGTCCTCTCTCTGCGCTCCGTCTGTCTCCGCGGGGCCTGCTCTCTGTGTCCCTCCTGTTCTCTTCTCTCCTGAGGACACCTGCCCACCCTAACCCGGGATGGTCTCAGCTCCAGAGCCCTGACTCAAACGCACCTGCAAAGGCGCTATTCCAGATAAGGTCCAGAGCCAGGTTCTGGGCATTCCCGGGGAGGGGGGCCCATCCAGCCCGCTACACTGCCCTATCCCTGTGGCCCCTACAGCCCCAGTACAGGTTTGCAAATAGTCCTGCATCAGACCCCCTCCAATTACCCTGCTTGGGGGCCTTCTGCTTCTTGTTGGGGTCCATTCAGATCTGTTCAGAGCAGGTGGCCTTGGTCATTCTGTGACCTCCAGGGGCATCCGAAGGGACAGCATCGTCTCTTGCCGGTGTGGCTTGTGGCCCAGAAATGCTGGCCTGGCCTGGCTTGTCGTTTTTTTTATTTTTTTTTTACTTTTGTTCCTGGTTTTTTTAGTAAGCTCTATGCCAATCGTGGGGTTTGAACTCAAGACCTTGAGATCAAGAGTCCCATGCTCCACGGACTGAGCCATCCAGGCGCCCCAAGGCCAGTTGCCCCAAGCAACTTAAGTTGCTTCCACAGTAGCAGGAAGCTGCCCACTGCGGGCTGCAGGATGGCGTCTCCCCAACACAGCCTTCTCTGGCCGTGCCTGAGAGCTGACCTCTTTATTCAAGCACACAGTGACCGTCGATGCCCACGATAATGAGAATCTATGGGGGAATATAGGAAAAGGAAGAAATCTTGGTCAATTACAATTGTACATTATTTCAGTTTCTGAAAGGAAGGTGACAGGACCTCAGCCCTGAGCTGAGGGCCCCTGGGCACTTCTGCAGGTTCACGGTGCCCTTGGGAGGTCAGCTTGGGAGGGAAAAAGGACCGCGAGGGCCAAGTCACATGCTCCCTCTCCAGGCAGTGGGAATCGGTAGAGGTTTGGGGCAGCCAGCAGGCTCGGGGTGTCCCGCAGGAGCAGGTCTGGGCCCCCAGTTCTCTAACATGCTGTTCTCCCCCTAGACCCTCGAAACCGCCGGCTACGTGAAGAGTGTGCTGGTGAGTAATTCTCTCTCCTACATCCATGCCCATTTTCCAGGGCACTTGTCCCTGGGACCCCTGGTGCTGGTGGCTCCTTCCAGTCCAGACAAAGGTGGCTGTGCCCACACAGCACTCGCTACCTGCCCAAAGGCTTTGCAGCAGTGGCCGAGAAGCCCATCCATTAGGGTCAGATAGGTGCCCCACATGGCCTTTGGTGATGCCTGCAGGAGCCAGCACCCAGCTTTGCCGTCCCTGGGGCACCGCACCCCCACGGGTTTCTCCCCCGCCGGCGTGGTCCAGCAGTCTAAGCGTGGCTGGCGCGTGGCCAGGGCCACGGAAACACCGTGTAGCTCCCTGGGGAGAAACAGGATTTTTGTCTCTGCAGCATCCATCTCCACCTGTGCAGGGATGCCGTTTTTCCAGACACCTGCTCAGACAGTGCGGAGCAGGGCTGGGCCGCCGTCCCTTCCGGTTCCGGTTCCGGTGTGCGTGCTGCTCAGAGCTCGCCTCCTCCCCCGCACACTTTGAAGGAGGCTTTGCACGCTGAGCAGGGTGTGGGGAGGGGGAGGGGGCAGGGGAGGGCCCCCCCCCCCAACGTGGGCCGTCACTCACTTCAGCCCAAGCGGAAGCCACAGGGCATCAGCGCCTGCAGCGTGATGGTCCTCCCTGAGCTGGGCCGCGTGTTCATGAGCATACAGCGTGCCCATCCAGAAAGCACTCTGCAAGTCCGTTCAGGTGACCGCGCAGGAACATTAACTGAGCTGCTCAACCACTCAGAAAATCTCTTCCACTGGTTTTTGCAGGAGCGAGATAAGCTTTTGAGATTTCGAAAGCAAAGAAAGAAAATGGCGAAACTCCCCAAGGTAAAGGAGACAGCACTGACGTGTGCACACACAAAACGCGTGTTTTTAAAAGCTACTTAACAGGAGTGAGTTTCTCTCTGGAGGTGAAAAGAAGATAATTTTATTATTTCCTTTTTATTAATGTTTATTTATTTGTTTTGAGAGAAAGAGTGCACGAACAGGGGAGGGGCGGAGGAAGAGAGGATCTTAAGCAGTGGAACCCAATGCGGGGCTCGATCCCACGACCCTGGGATCAGGACCTGAGCAGAAACCAAGAGTCAGACGCTCATCAGGTTGCGTCACGCAGGTGCCCTAATAATTCTATTATTTTTTTAAGTTTATTTATTTTGAGAGAGAGAGAGCACAAGCAGAGGAGGGGCAGAGAGAGAGGGAGAGAGAATTCCACGCAGGCTCCACATTGTCAGTGCAGAGCCTGATGCTGGGCTTGAACTGACAAATCATGAGATCTTGACCTGAGCCGAAATTAAGAGTCACACACACACTTAACCGACTGAGCCACCCAGGCGCCCCAATTGTTTTTAAAAATCGTTACTGTACAATAACCAAAACGAACCCAAATCAACACAATGATTATAATTTTAAATTTAGGAATCCTACCTTGTTGCTTTTAACTTTCCCAGAGAAGATATGATTTCTGACGGCAAGGAGGAGGGGCTAGCCTTGGACCCTGACCTGCCTCTGCCAGCTCGGAGGTAGAGTTCCCTCTTGCGCTGGAGTCCACAGGCCTGCCTCGTCACCACATGGTCCCCGGCCAGCACTGCAGGCTGCAGCACCTGTCTGCTGGCCCCACACAGGTCCCTCCCAGGCATGCCTGCGCCCGTAGGAAATTGGAAGCACAATCTTTTCAACAAATGTATGCTTTTTATTAGAGGACATTCAGGAGAGGGGGCATCTGGGGGGCTCAGTGGGTCAAGCGTCTGACTTTGGCTCAGGTCATGATCTCACAGCTTGTGGGTTCGAGCCCTATGTTGGGATCTGTGCTGACAGCTCAGAGCCTGGAACCTGCTTCTGAGTCTGTGTCTCCCTCTCTCTCTCTGCCCCTCCCTCACTTGTGCTCACTCTGTCTCAAAAACAAATAAATTAACTAATTAATTTTAAAAAAGGAGATTCAGGAGATAGCCTCAAGGAACAGTAACTTGTGTGCTGCTTTCTGCAACATGAGTGTTTTCTCGTTTGGCTTTTGAATGCTCAGTGGTCGTTCCTCACACAGGCTGTGAGATGTTCCTTAGGCACAAATGCTGGCTTCTCTGGCCCCCAGAAAGGCCCATGGGAGGAGGGAGAGGGGTTGGGGGTCTCTATCTTTGGGATTATGGCAGAGTATTTAGAGATTTTCTGGAGGCCTGGGAGCCCGGCAGTGCAGTGGTAAGAGTGGACCTGCTGCTCTCCGCCAGGCCCCCCTGCTCCCCGGGCTTCCGGGAGGCGGGAGTGGGGAGAATCCGGGCAACTGGGATAAAGGCCAGGAGCCCTCAACGTGCAGGACAGGTTCAGCAGCCGAGGACGGGATGGTGAAGGCAGGGAGCATCGGCCACGGCGCCCTCCAGCCTTAGTGACCGGTGACCCTCATGAGCCTGACCGTGAAGGGCCCCATCGGGGACTCAGCAGAAGGAGGCCGCGGGGAGCTCCTGGGACCGTCTGGGCCTGTATCTGGGAGAGCGTCGGGGACACTGGCAGGAGGGACTTGGATAGAGTGGACGTGGGGTGGGGAGGGCACATGGGTCTGTGTGTGGATTAACCCGGTCCCTCTTGGTCAGAAGCCGGTTGTGGTGGAGACGTTCTTTGGATACGACGAAGAGGCTTCCCTGGAATCTGATGGCTCCTCTGTCTCTTACCAAACGGACAGGACGGACCAGACCCCGTGCACCCCCGACGATGACCTGGATGAGGTAGCGTCTCACGGGGCCTCTGCACGGGCCGGGGCGGGGCTCCGGGGGTCCAGGGACCTGGCGAGTAGGGCCACGTGCCTCTCCCTGGCTGCCTGCACCCCTGCCCTCTCGCAGGCTGCCCTGGGGTCCGGGCCACGCCGAGACGTACATCAAGGCAACAAAACAATGAGGAGCAGCCCTGTCTTTGATAAAAGCCCAGCCAGCCTGTCCTGCCCAACCCCCCTTCCGGAAGGAACCGCCCTCATACGCAAGCAGACATCTGAGCCCCCTCATGTGGCAGGAAGCCCGTGCTGGGTTTGGTCCGACCCGCCCGGCCCCTGTGGCTGAAGGACACGTAGTGGCAGGCGGTCCACGGACCTGTCCAGGGGCACTCGGGCCATGAGCCAGGCCTCCCCTGGCAGATCCGGGCAGGTGGCCCCATGGCCACCGACCCACGTAGAGACCTAAGCCATGGTAGCCCAGCTGCTGCCACTGGCCCCGGGGATAAGGAGCAGGGGCCGGGCTCCGGTCACTCTCAGACACAGCCACCCTCCCGCAGCAGACCGGGGTGTTCTCCTTGGAGCAGCAAACACTTCGGGGTCCGCTGGGGCCCCGCCAAGGCAGCCGCAACCCCCCGCCTTTTCCCAGGGGCAGCGGGTGTCCTTGCGGTCGGAAGGCATGTGGGGATGGCCGTGGGAAGGGAGCCTGAGCTGTGCGGTGGGGTGGGGAGGAACCGCCTTCTCGGGCCCAGCGCTCACCTGGCCCGCAGGGGGGCCCCAGCTGAGGCCCTGGCCGGGCTCCCGGCCCCTGAGGCTCACCCTGGCCTCAGCGCAGCCGGCTCACCTCCCCGGGTCCCCGGGTAACAGCGTGTCTCTGTGCACCTCTCCAGGGCGTGGCCAAGGAGGAGACGGAGCTGAGGTTCCGGCAGCTGACCATGGAGTACCAGGCCCTGCAGCGAGCCTACGCCTTGCTGCAGGAGCAGGTCGGAGGGACGCTGGACGCAGAGCGAGAAGTTAAGGTCTAACTGACTTCTACTCCACGACGTTCCGGCTCCCGCCGGGGCTCCTCCCCGCTTGACCCCCCGGCCTTGGCAGGGACACTGGCATCGCTTCGCCTTCCGGGCCAAGCCCTCTCCCACGTCCCGCGGTTATTGTCGGGCCCGGCGATGCTCGCCGAGGCCGTCGGGAGCCCGTGTTTGGGAAGTGGCGCCGGCCGTTGGCCGGCCGCGGGTGGGACCCCAGGGCAGCCCCGGCACAGGTGTGAGCGGTGGCCCCCCCCCCCGGAGAGCCGGGTTTGTCCCTCTGGGCACTGCAGTTGGTGGACAAGGTAAAGTCGGCTTCCTGGCCAACCTGCTGGTGGCGCTCCTGGGGCCTCCCGGTAACTGAGGCCCAGAGCCAGAGGAGGCCTGGCATCTCAGCTCGGTTCTTGAAACAAGCCAAGATTATTTGTTTGTCCGGTAAACGCTGAGCTCGGATGCCGTGCCCCCCTTTCCCCTGAGCCTCGCCAGGCAGGCCCAGCCGGGAGCAGGTAGTGTCCCCTCCTGCCCCTGCTTCCCTGGACCCTGGGCCAGGTACTCATGGTCCATCCGCCAAAGGCAGGTGCCCTTGCCGGCCACCAGGGGAGGCCGTGGTGGGGGGCTGTGTCCTGCCGCCCTCCCCCAAACCCCCTTTACCCCCGTCCCTGATGCGTGGCCTGCTCTGCTGGGGCTCAGAGGGCATGCCTGGCATAGAGAGATAAGCTTCGTCCCTGTGGAGTGAAGGGGTCTCCTGCCCTGCTGCTGTGGGGCCTGGGGGCCAGCTCTGTCCCCAGCCTACACGGGACAACACCACTTAGCCATTTCTGCAACTCTGGCTGGCCGGCTGAGCATGGACGTCTTCGAACCAGGGCACAGTGTCAGCGGGGTCCCCTCCCCTAGACCGTATGTGTCCTGGCTGCCTGGAGAGCCCCTGGGCCTCCAGAGAATCGGGTGGGGACTAGCTAGGACCCCGGCCAGCTTCACTTTCATCTCTGCGGATGGAGAGCAGAGGCCGGGGGAGGGAGAGCCTGGGTCCACCGATGTCATGAGGAGAGGCACCCAGGGCCCGGCCAGGGGATACCCTGCCCTCCCCAAGCTGAGGGACCCCTGACCCTGTGCCTTCATCTGCCCTGGAGGCTGTTCCCCGGGGAGCAGGAGCACCAGAAGAATGGAGTGCCCTATAGCTTGGACCTCACGAGTGCACATGAACTCCCAGGAGGGCGGTTTGGACCCTCGGGGGCCTTGCATGCACCAGGGCAGTGAGCGTGGGCTTCCACAGGGGGCCCCGGGGGGAGAAAGTGAGTGAAGTCAGCAAGCAGAATCCAGGTGAAGCCAGGACCGGCAGAGGGCGCCTGTGCGGGAAGGGAAGGGAAGGGCGTCTGGTCCCTGCTGGGCAGATGGCCAAGCCCTGCCAGTGTCCTCACTGTCGCCCTCGAGACTGGAACCAGCCCCCCTGGGCCGCGCCCGGCCACGCCCATCAGCTGTTCCATCCTGTGACAGACTTCCTTCCGCCAGCACGCTCTCAGAGTCAGTCTGCAGGCCGTCCCTGTGGTCTAAGTGAGGTCGCCTGCTTCAAACCAGCCTCAGAGTTCTTCCCTCCGTGCTGAGCACTCCTTGCAAAGGGGAGGACGGCCTCCTCTCCGGTAGCAGAGGTGGCGGAGGCAGAAGGCAGAAGGTCGCTGAGAGTCTCTGTCCCTGTGGGTATGTCCTGGCTTTTAGAGAAAGTTGGATGTATGTCTCCTCCCGTCCTACAGACCCGTGAGCAGCTCCAAGCAGAGGTGCAGAGGGCCCAGACGCGGATAGAGGATCTCGAGCAGACCCTGGCTGAGCAGGGACAGGTGGGTGTGTGGAGCCCGGGTCCCTGGGGGGCTCCAGGGGGTCGGAGGGAGCCTGAGGGGCACGGACTCCTGGGGAGGGCGGCGGCCCGTGTGCGCGCGTGCGGGTGAAAGTTATTGGCTGCGCACTGAAGACTCACACCTTGATCAAAAATGTGAAAACTGGAAGGAATCTGTATCCAGAGGAAGGAGACAGCAGCCTTGACGGGGCGGGCACGCGCCCGGCCGAGAGTGCGTGGCCTCTCTGGGCTTGGTCTGGGTGGGCCCCGTCTCTCCCCAGCTCAGGGCCAGGATTTCAGGCCCCTGGAGGTTGTCAATCACTCTCTCACCACCTCGGGGCTCTTCGAACCCCGTGGGAGGGCATCCTCCCGCCCTGGCCACGGGCCTGTGACCTGCTGGATGGCGCAGCTCCAGGTGGAGTCACCATGCGGCAGGACGACGTCCGCGTAGGGCTGGGAGGGTCTGCCTGGAAGGCGCCTGGCCCAGCACCGAGCCCCGTGCAGACCCACGGCGGTCCTTGACATGTTAACTGCCGGACAAGAGGAGGGCCTGAGTGACACCGGGGCCACACTGTGAGCACCCCTGCCTGAGCATGCGGCCAGGCTTCAGCGCCAGATTGGCTCGCGCCCCACCACGGCCACCACATCTCCGCCCGGGGCCACGGCACACTTGGGCTGCAAGAACGGCGTTCTGGAGTTGAGCTGTGCACAGTCCTCACGGACCCTGCCTGGACTTCGAGACTGAGATCCCTGGGCCCCACGCCATGCTGGATAGGAGCAGTGGTGGTAGCTGGGACACGAGGAGGAGGAGAGGGAGGGACAGGAGGAAGGGGAGGAGGGGGAGGAAGAGGAGGGGGAGGAAGAAGAAGGAGGAGAAGGAGGAGAAGGAGAAAAGAAGACAACGCTGCCTTTCATCTGCTGAGATGAATCTTTCAAGCTTCGAAGATGACTTTGCTGGAAAGAAGCTGGGGCAATAGGCCTTCCTCCTGACACCTGACTGGAAACGCTGCTGGGGCAGGGGGCAGGGGGCACGCCGGAGACCCTGTGCTTCCCCCAAGGCCTGACCCTGGGACGGGGTCCGCAGGGCGGCCACACACATCTCTCGCTGTTGCACAAATGCCTCCGTCTGAGTGTCCGAGAGTGAGATGGACCGGGCGCCCCCCTCCCACCCTGTCGAGGGAACCTGGCTCCCGCCGGCTCCAGTCAGGGTCCCCGGACCCGTGACGTCCACGTGGTACCACGTGCCGCTGGTGCCTGGCCGGGAGCGCTGTCCACGTGGGGGTACCAGGGGTCCGCCTGAAGTGGGGCTGCCCCCGTCTGCTCTGTCCGGGTCCCTCCCAGGAGATACAGGGTGAAATCAGAGGTGTTCATTAGCTGTGCGAGTGAGCCATCCCGGGTGGTCATGTCAGAAGCTGGGTGTTGAGTCCTTTGGTCGGATCCTCTGTTCTGCTGAATTGTGATTTAAATGCTGACTTGGAGATTAACCCTGTGGTGAATCTGTTTCTCCAATTCAATTCCGCGTCCAAGGACATGAAGTGGATTGAAGAGAAGCAAGCTTTGTATCGAAGGAACCAAGAGCTCGTGGAGAAGGTATGTCTGTGGCCGTCCTGCCCTCTGGCCGCCTCCCCTGTGCTCCCGGGCGTGTGCGGCCAGTGCTGCTGGGCAGGGGTGGGGGAGTGGGGGGGGTCGCTCGGCAGAGCCTCCGTGGCCGCCCCCTCGCCGGGCCTGCTGGCGGCTCACTCCCGGGAGGCCGCCCCCTCCGCCTCCTGGAGACGGTGAGCCGTGCGTCTAGAGCTGCGTCTGGGCTCCTGTTTTGTCCCACGGATGGGCTCTGTGGTTGGCGAGGGCCAGGCAGGCTCTGTGGAAGAGTTGTCCTTTCAAAACCACTGGAGTCACCCCATTCAGAAGCCTTGTTGAGCCAGGACACTGTATTCCGGGAAGAGGTCCTTTGAGGGTCCCCGGGAGCTGGGCTTCAGTTTCTGTCACCACCGCGCAACTGTGAGGGCGTGTGACGTAACCAAAGCTTCCCTGGCAGTGGCTGTGGCCGTGGCCATGGGCTCTCCTGGCTGTGGCTAACAGGAGGCTCCAAAATGCTGTCATCCCTGTCACCCCGCCCCCAGAGTGGGGCTTTTTGGCTGGAAGAAGGCTTTATGTGACTGGTCAGGAAACACGGTGCCCAGCTGGCCAGTGCCTGTTAGTGGCCTGAGCTCCTCCCAGGAGCTGCCTGGCTTCCCCTTGTCCCTGGACGTGAGACGTCTGTTCGTGGGCACCTCCGCCTACATCACCACCTCTCTGATCCAGCCCGTTCTTGGGGCCGGTTCAGGGAGGGACCCACAGCACTAAAGGCCGAGGACTGTACATGGTTCGTCAGATGACACTTGGGCAGCTGGGGACCGTCCCCAGTGGGTAGGGCCCAGAGTGCTGTAGCAGGTGGCTCGGAACAGGATGGGAGCCGGAGCTACATGTTTAGAGGCAGAAAGGCCACCAGGGCTTACAGTTGGCTCCCGCAGCCCCACCATCGTCATGCCTACGTGACGGTGCCATTGTGGCCCGTCCCTCCCAGCCACAGCCCTCGCCCTGGGCCAAGGACTTTCCATGGCATCTGCCGCCCTTCCCGAGAAGAGCCAGACTAGGGTGTCCTCACGAGCCTCAAGGGCCACCTCCTCGACGGTGCTTCCCACAGACCAGCAGCCCCCAAACCAAGGCTGTGGGTCCCAGTTCAGCCACCCGCCCCGCCTGAAGCCGTTAGTCCCACACGGGGCTGTGCTTTGGGTATTATGTCTTGAACACTGAGTGACACCTACGTGCTTCCTGCTTGTATCTTAAATCAGGACAGCTGTGCTCACCTTCTCTGGTGCTCACCTGCACACGTAAACACGTGTGTGTGCACGGAAATGCTTGTGTGCACACATAATGTTCACGTGCACGCTAAAATCTTGTGTGCCCTTAAACATGCACGTGCACACTCACTCGTGTGCATGCAAACACACGTGCACACTTAAATGTTCTTGCATACACACCCATGAGCACGTTTAACCACTGTGCACACTTAAATACTCCCTCGTACACATAACAGTTGCGCACACGTAAATGCTTGTGTGTGCACAAAAATACCTACATGCTTTTGTGCACACATACTTACTCATTGTACTCCTGTACTCTTCTCGTATATGCTTGTGTGCACACACGTTTGTATGCATACATTTAAGTACTTCTTACATACACACTCATGTGCACGCAGTACATACACGTGCACATTTAAACACACACAGGCACAATGTCCATGTGCAAACACTGTGCTCACTTCAAACCTGTACTTTTCTCTGCCTACCATGGACATGGGGTCACATTCTTGGCCTGTGGGTGCTCCCCCACGGCCTCAGCTGTGACACATGCACTGTGATAAGGCCCTGCCCCTGAACGCACGGCTCCCTTGCTGGGTGCTGAACCCCTGGAACCATCTCTCCACCCACCCCCGAGCATCCCAGCAGGGTATTCGGTTCCCCAAGCTCAGTTCGGGGGATGGGCCGAGTCCCCTGCCCGCAGCGGACACCCTTCTGGAACACCCTTTCCTTTCGGGGGGATGGGCCGAGCCCCCGCCCTCAGCAGACACCCTTCTGGAACACCCTCTCCTGTGTTCACAAGGCTGAGTGCCCCAGGATGCGTGGCGCTCACCCTTGGGAGGGCATGGGCCGTGCATGTTTCTGATTCTGTTTAAACAACCTCCTAATTAGTAAAGTTCACTCTGGAGGGGGTCAGGCAGCGATGGCTCATGGCCCTTCCATTGCTTCTGGGCCAGCCTGGGCTCTAAGGAGCACTGTCATACAGGGACATCTTACCGTCTCTTCCCTTGATGGGTCCCTTCCCTTCCCCATCTCTGCTCAGATGGCCAGGCCGAGCTCCGGGCTCTTGGGGCTCCTCGCCCCCTGATCTGCCCCTGCGTCCCCCCATCCCGATTAACCAACGGCTGGAGACTCAACCCTGTCTCACTAGGACGGACCCACATGGACTCCAGCTGGAGTGAGGTCTCTGGGCACTGGGGTGGGTCAGCTGTCCCCAGAGAGCCAGCAGCTGTCAGGACAGCTGGGGAGTTGACCTGTGACCTCAGGCATCTCATCTGCCTTTTATTTTACAGATCAAGCAAATGGAGACGGAAGAGGGTCGGTTAAGACACGAGGTCCAGGATGCAAGAGACCAGAACGAGCTGCTAGAGTTCCGGATCCTGGAGCTGGAGGTGTGTCTCAGGGCGGGCGCGGGCGTCAGGGCACAGGCCACCAGCCTGCAGAGCCGGGGTGGGCACAAGGGGCACAGGCCACCAGCCGCGGACGGAGGGAGGCCTGTTGGCTGGTCACTTGGCCTTCCTGACCTGAGCTTTTGTTCATGACCCCAAGAGGGAGGGCCTCTCTGGGGGCAGAGGAGCCCCCCTCTGCGTGGGGAACCATGGAGGAAACAAGGACAAAACGTACCCCGGAAGAATGAAACATGAGTGTCTGCTTCTAGACCCGTGGGGGCTGGACAATCATGGCTGTGCCTCGTTGTGCTGTGGGGGCCACACGCCCGACCACAGTGGTCAGCCTGGCCGACGTTTCCTTCTTGCTCATTTAAGCCCCTGAGTGCAGGCAGCTGGGTGCCACACGGTGACCAGGTGCCCTTTGTCTGTCCTCTGCCATGACCCTGGCCTCCTACAGCGGAGGGAGCTGGAGCAAGGCTCCCTTGGGGAAAGGGCCAGCCACGCGTGGACGGCCACATTGCTGCCTTCACCTGCCACTGTCACTCCTCCCCATGAGGGCAGCTGGGGGCACGGTCCACCTGTGAGGCGTGAGGAAGTGATCTGGACTGGTGTTTGCCTTGCGGGCCGCCTACACACCCCTTGGGGGCCCCCTTCTCAGTCCTGGTCACCGTTGGGACCTTTGGTGACCACGAGGGCATGACCCTCGCTGGTGGGAGCGACCACATTTTGTATGATACTGTGAGAAGATGGGGGTCCCCAGGGTCTTGCTGTGGTCAGCCTGTGGAGGACCCGCTCCCTGAGGCTCCCAACAGCCCTGGAGTTCACAGTGGATGGCAGGTCGGCAGGTCGCCAGCGGGGGTGGTGACCGGGGAGCAGGGAGCTGAGCCGGATCCCCAGGGCCTGTCTGGGCCGGGAGCTCCCTTCTCCGCCAGCGTCTGTCTGCACAGGGGCCGCCTGCTGCCCTTGGGGCTTCGTTTCACAAACGTGGACCCTATTTGCGGGTCCCCAGCACAGCTCGGCGCCAGCCTCCCGCTTTCTGTCCTAGGAAAGGGAGAGGAAGTCGCCCGCCATCAACCTCCACCACACCCCGTTCGCGGAAGGGAAGAGCCCCCTCCAGGCCTACTGCGAAGCGGAAGGCGTGACGGTAAGCCCCCCACCCCCCCGCCCTGCACCCCGTGCTGCCCACCCGGCTGGCACTCACCCCAGCCCGTCTGTCCTTCTAGGACATCCTGGTCGCGGAGCTGATGAAGCAGCTGGACATCCTGGGGGATAACGCCGTAAGTGTATGTCGCTCTCCTGACTTGTGCATGCCTCCTCATGCGAGCCACCACCCCCATCAGCCCCCCTTGGTCAGGGGCCCCGTGAGTCCCACCATGAACCTGCCACAGCTGCCCTGCCCGCCCGCACCCTCCCTGTGGCCATAGCGCTTGGGGCGGCCCCTTTCTCATGTTGTCCCCGTGTCCGGCCGGGTGGTGCCTAGCAGCCAGAGACACGGAGCTCAGTGCTGTGCTCTGCTGGGTGGGGGGGCCTCCGCCTGCACACCGTCTCCTCCGGCAGTGGTGCTTCTGGCTAGTGTTTTCTCAGTTTCCGGAATCCTCTCCGTACCCCTGATACTCTGCAGCTCCTTTCTGTACCTTAGATAGCCCAGACTCTTAGGGGTTCCCATCCCCTTGGTTTTGGGAGAGGGGCAGGCACCATTTATAATCTGCAAATCTTATTAAGGAGACAGTTTCAATTTCTACGGCAAACTCCTGGAAGAATGCTAATTACTGAGTGACTGTACCCCTTCATCCCGCCCTCCGTGCATCCCTCCCTCCACCCTCTACCCTGTCTGTCATCCCTCCATTCGTCCATCCATCTGTACTCCTTCCCTCCATCCTCTGTCCTCCATTTATCCATCCACCCACACACCCATCCACCCACCCATCCACCCACCCATCCATCCA